TTAACACAGGCTAAAAGTGTTCGCCCCTACCAAAGACTGGACCACTCCCCCATCCCCGACCCTTTAGCACAGGCTAAAAGGGTTCGCCCCTACCAAAGACTAGACCACTCCCCCATCCCCACCCCTTTAACACAGGCTAAAAGTTTTCGCCCCTACCAAAGACTGGACCACTCTCCCATCCCCATCCCCTTTAACACAGGCTAAAAGTGTTCGCCCCTATCAAAGACTGGACCACTCCCCCATCCCCATCCCCTTTAGCACAGCTAAAAGTGTTCGCCCCTACCAAAGACTGGACCACTCCCCCATCCCCATCCCCTTTAACACAGGCTAAAAGTGTTCGCCCCTACCAAAGACTAGACCACTCCCCCATCCCCACCCCTTTAGTACAGGCTAAAAGTGTTCGCCCCTACCAAAGACTGGACCATTCTCCCATCCCCATCCCCTTTAACACAGGCTAAAAGTGTTCGCCCCTACCAAAGACTGGCCCACTCCCCCATCCCCACCCCCTTTACACATGCTAAAAGTGTTCGCACCTACCAAAGACTGGAACACTCCCCCATCCCCACCCCTTTAGGACAAGCTAAAAGTGTTCGCCCATACCAAAGACTGGACCCCCCCCCCATCCCCACCCCCTTTACACATGCTAAAAGTGTTCGCTCCTACCAAAGACTGGCCCACTCCCCCATCCCCAACCCCTTTAGCACATGCTTGACGCGTTCTCCCCCCTCAACAGGCTAGAAACATTCGCCTCTATCGCAGACTGGCCACTCTATCTATTATGGTCATCATGCGATGTTTTAACAGACTGTCAAGATTAATCTAAAACAATATGGTTTGATATTGTATAGATGAAAATACTATATACACACTAATTAAGATTCTGTTTATGATAAAGTGTAATGACCCGTATGATACCAGATGGTTGCCTTTCAGGACGTTCACCTTCAAATTAAAACATCCGAATAAATAATCAAAAATACGGAAATGTCTGGTGAGATCGACCCCAGTGCATTGACCATCAGACCGGACACCTTATTTTTTATTAACTGTGGTTCTCGACCCTCCTGCTCCCCCTCACCACATCACAACCACTGACTCGCTCCCGTTACGCCCCTCTACAGCCCAATGTTCTATCTCGACACTCCTCCTCCCCCTCACCACATCACCACCACTGACTCGCTCCCTTTACACCCCGCTACAGCCCACTGACTCGCTCCCGTCACACCCCTCTACAGCCCCCTGACTCGCTCCCTTTACACCCCTCTACAGCCCACTGACTCGCTCCCGTTACACCCCTCTACAGCCCAATGTTCTATAGATTGTGGATTGAGGTTATGATTAACCATACTTGGTATCAATTCGGATGAGTTTATTCTTGAGTAAACCTTTTTTCACAAAACAGTGGTGATATTCTGGATGCATCTCTTCAATTGCTCTTTAGTTTAAAATTATTTCTCATACAAACATATAACACTTAATTCGATGCGGACAGTTGAGTTGATGAATTTACAAAGGACTGTTCCGAAACAAACAATAATTTTACAACTATTTTACGACACTGTTTAGATGTCCGATACATCAATGACCCCGACGCTCGGAGTCGAACCAACGCCTCCTACCAGTCCCGAGTTGCCTCAAAGCCTTAAGACTGTATATGTGGAGATACCAGAGTAATCCCACATCAATAAGCTATCTGAAGATATAGCGATAATTTCTATTTAACGAAACGTGCAGTAACTATATTTCAAATGAAATCGTTCGCAGCCAAAAGTAAGTGTGTATACAACTAAGAACAAGAATGCTGAAGTCTGTAAATGTTTCGATTAACCTTTTTTGAAAATAATCTTTCTAATTTTGTTTACGCAGCAAAAGGTCAGAGGTTCAAGGACAACAGATACGGAGTATGCCTCGTTAATTTCAATCTGTAAAGGAGTTTTGGAAGTTCATTTATTTTAGACACTCGTACGTTTATTTTAAGGTTCTTATTATTTAAATGGCAATAGGTTACGACAGAAAGGTCAAGAGTAGTCCTTAACCTCAAGCGATAGTGTGCCGTCATAAAGAATAATTCCTTTTAAAAGGGCATGCACGTGTTACAGCGCACGTGCCAGTATGTATTAGCGTAAACACATGTGTCTACTCAAATAGAGAATGTAGAAATAACAAAGTTATAAAGACTAAAGACGACAAAATCTGTCATTTAAAAAAAAGGAATTTACAAATATAAAAGATAAATTACGTACTTTAAAGTGAAGTGTATTTAGTTGCTCTCTCATTTCTACCAGGAATTTGCTGTGGTCATTACATAGACACTGCGTTTCTAACAGTATAACTTACCATTGATCACATTATATAACCCAGGTGATCAAAGGCTTACGTCAACTACTATACAGTGCCCCCATCGACCTTTTGTGAAAAAACACAAGTTGCTGTCGATAACTGTAGAAATCTATAAGTCTGTTTTTAATGCAACGAAATTCTTATAACCAAAATACACACGGGTAGTTTTTACGACATGTTTGAGTTTGTAGGTGCTCTTACAACTTAGCTAAAACTATTGTTTGTTTTAGGGTTTATCGTCATCCCAACAGAGAAGGTCATAGGAAGGTGGTTTTTATTGTTGATTAATATGTTGTTGTGTAAATCTGTTATATGTATGCATCATAAGTGTAACATGATCTTTTGAGAATTTCGGGTATAACAAATGCATTTCATTTATTTTGAAATCAGAAATTGACCAAGGTATCATTTGGAAGACGCGGTCGTTTTATAGCAGGCGTTTTGTAACGTATCGTATCTTGCTGACATTTGACTTCCGTTCCATTCTTGACGGTATTGACACTTTCGGTTGTCAAACACTAATAGAGGCGATACTCTTTGAACAAAGGGCGAAAGGGGGGGGGGGGATACATTTGTTTGCTCATATCCCAGAAAGTTTGTCCTCGGTGTACACTAGACAAAATAAGTGTATCGTATCGTCATCAACCTTACTCCGGTGTTGTGATGGAGGTTTGTAACGTAAATACAACTGAAAGCCTTTAACCGAAAATCGCGATAAAGGTACATACACAAGACAATCACTTTGGCGTTAATGGATCTGAGGCAGATACGTATGATACTGTCCATGGAAGTTTTCTCTTCCGTATGTGGTTCACGATTTGACGTGTAAACAGTCTGTTGTGTAAGTAAACGAGGAGTCAAACTATATGCGTGGCCCGCGCGTGTGCTTATTGTTCCTACTGAGGCTGATAACGACCTATAGAGAAACACAGCATATGAGCGGCGCTCTATATCACAGTTCTTTGTATGATAAACGAGGGCAATGATACACAGTTATATTTCCGCTTCGTCCACAGTAGTAGGTTGTCGAACATGCCAAAATGCCGAACCCTATTACACATCACTCTTGCTCAGCATCCAAAGGTTATTTCAAAATATCCTTTGTTTGCTCCATGTTTTATCTGATGCCGACACCGACAGGAACTTGTAGAAAGACGTACGTCGCACTTATGTTTGATTATTTTATCAAAACAACTGATACGTCTTATTTTCACCACGCATAAAACAAAATATGATGATAGTATAATAATATGGTAATATATAAACATAATTAAAACGGCAAAGCCCAGGTTCCGTTTACGACACTTTAGATGTCCTAAATAGATATGTCGTAATGTATTCGTGTGATTATATAAATATAATGATTTAGTGTAAAAGAGGCCTCTACATATGCATGCATTGACCCTACTTATATCTCATTCAGACACGATTGTTATCGAATGTTCACTGACGCAATATAAAAACTCAAAAACATTAACTTTGGAAACAGAACTTTTAAAAGGAATGATTAGACTATGTTGTGACTTTGCTTTTGGAACGAAATGTTCATAGCTTTTAAGATAACGAGAAAAATCTGCAAAAATAATTCACTCTTGTTTTGTTGATTTTTTTTCTTTTCTTCTTCTATTCTTCTATTTTTAATTCTATTTCTTAAGGTTCTCATAAATAGTTTGTGGTTGATGGCCATACTGCATATTTTCGTACGTACACTATTCTGCAGATAACACTTCGAGCGTGTATATATTAGTGTCGTAAACCTTTATGAATGTTTACGTAACTCGACAAATAGCTTTTATCTAATGTCTCGGCTTCTCGTCTTTGTCGGAATGGTCGTACGACTTATCAATGTTTGTTTGGTAGTGGTCTAACCGCTCAATAGTAGTTATTGGAGTCGCCGAATCTATCTGTTTGGCCTTTAATGCGACACTGGCGTTTGTACGCATGCTCGTTACCATACAAACACTCGCTGTTTGATCGGGTATTGTTTTGCGTTCAATAAAAGAAGAATTATGGTGTACGTTTCATGCTAGTTAAGTAATGGCGATAACTTCCTCTCTCCGTAGAATACTCCGACATTCACACACAAACACACTTAGCAAGAGCATCCTAATCTCTGAATGCCAAATCAATTAAAAAAAATCTCTGACATCTTTTATCATTAACAGTATTACTTAACACTGGTAGAAATGAAGCTCTGAGAATCTATGAAAGCGTGCCAAACACTTTGTGTAACGCGCCTCATTAAAACCACTGCTAGGAGACTATCGGAACGGTGTTACACTGGGGTTTTATCTAGCTCTTCCAACACAAACTTTGTAACATCTAGTATCTCCGTTCTACGGCTCAGCCTTAAATTAAGCTCAGCCTGTTACGACTAGAGCAGCATCAGGCAGTATCTAGGATAGCAATGGATGAACGTGCTGATGCTCGAGCGTTGGTGAAATGACCAGAAACCGAATCCCGAGTGACCAGGTGTAATAGCTGTGTATTGAGGTGGTGTTGGATGACCAAAAGATCCGGTTATGATCTGATCTTGGGGGCAAGAGCGGCGTGGAACATCGAATTACTCAACAACACCGCACGTATATTGGTAGGTATCATGGCGTGTGACGTCACACACCAGAAGTTCTGCCCTCGCGCTTTTGCGCGTGCGAAGCATTGATAGGACCAGGTTGCAGCCCGCGCATTCCAGTCTGGTAGAGGACTGGTAAGCGATATGGTAGCGAGTGGGAAAGGTGTGTCTGTTCTAGCCACCGTGGAATACATATATCCCAGTAATTTCCAACATATGTGTAATAAGTTTATAACTTAAAGGCCGATATAGCGCCAAAGGTGTTCCATTATTGGGTTGTGTACTATTCATGTCACCGTGGATATCGTTAAAAACGGCGTGGCGGACATGGGAGCCCTAAACACAGAGCAGGTCTGCTACTATAAACTAAAGTAAGTATAGAGTATATGTCCGTTATACGACTGTCTGGTCCTCTGATAAATTTCTGTCTAACCCCTATGTCCGATCGTCCAATCCTTGTCCAGTCGTCTGCTATTTATTGATACAAATGCATGTCCATCGATCCGCCGATCATCAAGTATATTCGCCGATCAACCACTTTCTGCGCCAATCGTGAAAAGTACGACGAGTAATTCTCGTATTTTGTTTTATTTACCCGGTACATGGAAACCGCAAGCTATAATAATTCCGCTGACACTTATCAGTAGTCGTCATTGGCAATACATTGTGACCCTGATTATTAAGAAATGTGCATAATATGATTTATTATTGATCGAAGTTACATGTAAGCGGTAGCAAAATTTTGATTTTGATTTTATGTCAAGGCTATTAATTGAAACCATATAACCACAGGGATCTGACGATAAAGAATAATATATACTACCGTCGTGTCTGGTAACTGTGTCTTCCTCTACACATTGCCAAACCCCTTTATAACGCCAAAGTTTAACTGGAAAATGAGTGGCTATGTAACGAGGTGGTTTTTCAAACAACTAATACAGGTTTCCTCACTCCAGACTTATTAAATATACCTTCTAGGAATTGGAAAATATTTCTGGTCAACCACTAGTAAGTACCCTTCACGTTGTTGCATTTGCCATTCAATTTATTATGACGTTAGGTAACAATGATTTACGACGTCATACTCCATTGTGACGTCATGATTCATGGCAATTGTTTCCCCAACGGATACCAAAGGTAACATACGGTTTAGAGGATATCATATAAACGGTGAAAAAACGTCACCAGGCTGATGGTGTTTGATTACCATTCATGTTTATCTTACTTTCATTAGTTAATGTCCAAACTATAAATGACACTTGGTTGACCTCATGTGTTTATGCAATTTAAAAATTAACTAGCTCGAGTTAAATAAACATGATAACCAACCATCACTCGTTGGGAAACCTCACTTTTACGGTATATAACTGTACAGTACGTTCGTACCCTGTATGCCTCACTTTTACGGTATATAACTGTACAGTACGTTCGTACCCTGTATGCCTCACTTTTACGGTATATAACTGTACAGTACGTTCGTACCCTGTATGCCTCACTTTTACGGTATATAACTGTACAGTACGTTCGTACCCTGTATGCCTCACTTTTACGGTATATAACTGTACAGTACGTTCGTACCCTGTATGCCTCACTTTTACGGTATATAACTGTACAGTACGTTCGTACCCTGTATGCCTCACTTTTACGGTATATAACTGTACAGTACGTTCGTACCCTGTATGCCTCACTTTTACGGTATATAACTGTACAGTACGTTCGTACCCTGTATGCCTCACTTTTACGGTATATAACTGTACAGTACGTTCGTACCCTGTATGCCTCACTTTTACGGTATATAACTGTACAGTACGTTCGTACCCTGTATGCCTCACTTTTACGGTATATAACTGTACAGTACGTTCGTACCCTGTATGCCTCACTTTTACGGTATATAACTGTACAGTACGTTCGTACCCTGTATGCCTCACTTTTACGGTATATAACTGTACAGTACGTTCGTACCCTGTATGCCTCACTTTTACGGTATATAACTGTACAGTACGTTCGTACCCTGTATGCCTCACTTTTACGGTATATAACTGTACAGTACGTTCGTACCCTGTATGCCTCACTTTTACGGTATATAACTGTACAGTACGTTCGTACCCTGTATGCCTCACTTTTACGGTATATAACTGTACAGTACGTTCGTACCCTGTATGCCTCACTTTTACGGTATATAACTGTACAGTACGTTCGTACCCTGTATGCCTCACTTTTACGGTATATAACTGTACAGTACGTTCGTACCCTGTATGCCTCACTTTTACGGTATATAACTGTACAGTACGTTCGTACCCTGTATGCCTCACTTTTACGGTATATAACTGTACAGTACGTTCGTACCCTGTATGCCTCACTTTTACGGTATATAACTGTACAGTACGTTCGTACCCTGTATGCCTCACTTTTACGGTATATAACTGTACAGTACGTTCGTACCCTGTATGCCTCACTTTTACGGTATATAACTGTACAGTACGTTCGTACCCTGTATGCCTCACTTTTACGGTATATAACTGTACAGTACGTTCGTACCCTGTATGCCTCACTTTTACGGTATATAACTGTACAGTACGTTCGTACCCTGTATGCCTCACTTTTACGGTATATAACTGTACAGTACGTTCGTACCCTGTATGCTGATCACCTGTTTTACACGCCACTTCACCCATGTGATACGCATGCATGGACAACTGGCACGTTGATAAGATACAGAGACATGCATTACACGTGCACCAACTGCTGGTCCGTAAGTCCGGTCGTGTTTACATTGTTAATGCAGCACTCTGTTCCTCATTATTGAACATATATAACTCACTGTCCAGTTCGAGTGGTGAGAAGTTGAATTCCCCAATCGGTTGGTGGGGATAGACGTTGACCGTACTGCTCGTTTGGTGTGATAATGCATGTCATACTCACAGCTCAGTCCAAAGGATAAGACTTGTCAAACTCAAATTCCATTGTACTTTGTAAGAATGTTTACCTTACTTTCCAGTTTAAGTGGTAAGAGATGTCAATTCATTGTCTTGTTTAAGAGGAAAGACAGATCTAATTTACTGTCCAGTTTAAGTGGTAATTAAGACATGTCAAACTCACTGTCCAGTTAATCAAAAGGGTAAGACATGTCAAACCAACTCTCCAGTTTATACATGTGTAGGTTTGGCGATACGTTGATAAAAAAATGAAAGAGGGAGCAGGCACGAAATAAAATGGCAGAATTGAGCAAGATGACAAATGACACGAGTACATTGTACAAAAATATATAGTGATAAACGAGCAGCACTACATCAGTATTTTTATCGGTATATAACTGTACAGTACGTTTTATCAATTAACAATGAACGCTTTATCGAATTTTAAATTTTATATTTATAAAGTGTGGATATTATATCAATGTGTTACTGTAAAATGATAAACGAATGACATTATAACGGGGTTAACAGTTTAAATATAAATGAGACATCGTATATCAAGGTTTTACAGTCAAGCGATTAATGAAGAGTCATTATATCGAGGTTTTAATAATAATTTTACTAATTTTACTCTTTTGTGATAACAAGGATCACTGTATACTGGTTTTAATGTATAATGATAAACAGTTTAGGTGGTAAGACATGTCGAACTCACTTTTCAGTTTAGGTGGTAAGACATGTCGAACTCACTGTCCAATTGAAGTGCTAAAGAATTTCGGACTCACTTTCAACTTTTAGTGGTAAGACAGGTCGAATTCACTGTCCAGTTTAAGTGGTAAGACATGTCGAACTCACTGTCCAATTGAAGTGCTAAAGAATTTCGGACTCACTTTCAATTTTTAGTGGTAAGACAGGTCGAATTCACTGTCCAGTTTTAGTGGTAAGACATGTGGAACTCACTGTCCAATTGAAGTGGTAAGACATGTCGAATTCACTTTCCAGTTTAAGTGGTAAGACATGTCGAACTCACTTTCCAGTTTAAGTGGTAAGACATGTCGAACTCACTTTCCAGTTTAAGTGGTAAGACATGTCGAACTCACTTTCCAGTTTAAGTGGTAAGACATGTCGAACTCACTGTCCAGTTTAAGTGGTAAGACAGGTCGAACTCACTTTCCAGTTTAAGTGGTAAGACATGTCGAACTCACTTTCCAGTTTAAGTGGTAAGACATGTCGAACTCACTTTCCAGTTTAAGTGGTAAGACATGTCGAACTCACTTTCCAGTTTAAGTGGTAAGACATGTCGAACTCACTTTCCAGTTTAAGTGGTAAGACATGTCGAACTCACTTTCCAGTTTAAGTGGTAAGACATGTCGAACTCACTGTCCAGTTTAAGTGGTAAGACAGGTCGAACTCACTTTCCAGTTTAAGTGGTAAGACATGTCGAACTCACTGTCCAATTGAAGTGCTAAAGAATTTCGGACTCACTTTCAACTTTTAGTGGTAAGGCAGGTCGAATTCACTGTCCAGTTTAAGTGGTAAGACATGTCGAACTCACTGTCCAGGTTAAGTGCTAAAGAATTTCGGACTCGCTTTCCACTTTTACTGGTAAGACAGGTCGAATTCACTGTCCAGTTTAAGTGGTAAGACATGTAGAACCAACTCTCCAGTTTTAGTGGTAAGACAGGCTGAACTCATTGTCCAGTTTTAGTGGTAAGACAGGTCGAATTCACTGTCCAGTTTAAGTGGTAAGAAATGTCAAACACACTGTCCAGTTTAAGTGGTAAGACAGGCTGAACTCACTGTCCAGTTTTAGTGGTAAGACAGGTCGATCTTATGGTCCAGGTTTAGTGTCAAGAAACGTCAAACTCATTTTCCAGTTAAAATGGTAAGAAATGTCAAACACACTGTCCAGTTTAAGTGGTAAGACAGGCTGAACTCACTGTCCAGTTTAAGTGGTAAGACAGGTCGATCTTACGGTCCAGGTTAAGTGTCAAGAAACGTCAAACTCATTTTCCAGTGAAAATGGTAAGAAAGGTCGAACGCACGGTCCAGGTTTAGTGGTAAGACAGGTCGAACTCACTTTCCAGTTTACGTGGTAAGACATGTCGAACTCACTTTCCAGTTTAAGTGGTAAGACATGTCGAACTCACTGTCCAGTTGAATTGCCAAAGAATGTCGAACTCACTGTCCAGTTGAATTGCCAAAGAATGTCGAACTCACTTTCCAATTTAAGTGGTAAGACATGTCGAACTCACTATCCAGTTCAAGTGGTAAGAAATGTCGAACTCACTGTCCAGTTTATGTGCTAAAGAATGTCGAACTCACTTTCCACTATTAGTGGTAAGACAGGTCGAATTCACTGTCCAGTTTTAGTGGTAAGACATGTGGAACTCACTGTCCAGGTTAAGTGTTAAAAAAATGTCGAACTCACTGTCCAGTTAAAGTGGTTTAAAACG